TGCACGGTTGCTTGGAGATTGGGGAACTGTCAACATTGTTGAACAACATCGGAGGTATTTTCAAAATACCTTTTATAAGACAACGCGCAGTGAAATGGGAGGAACTAGAGTTTATTTTGCCATAAGGTAGTATGATTATGCATGACACGAAGTATTTGCTAGTCTAGTACTGAAGAAATTAGCGTTTGGATGCGCATTGTGCGGCTTTAAGAGCGTAGGTCGAGCCGTTTAGATTTGTGCCGCAATTCCGTATTTCCTCCTATACCTTAAGTTAAGAAATATTCCCCTTCATTGACACATCTTGACCTTTGACCCTTGACCCCCAAATTCGACATCCCGAGTCCTTTTCGCGATCCCACCCGACGTCCCGAATATCAAGACCGTACGTCGAGCGGTTAAGACCGGACAATCATGCGATTCTACAAGCTGCATCTGACTTCGTCAGCTGAGCTAAAAAACAAGACTAGAACTGCCAAAACCCCACAGAAACCACACGGGAAACCCCTTGATTGTGACTCAAACCCGTTCACGAAAAAAAAACAAGCTAAAACTGCCAAAACCCGACAGGAACCACGCGGGAAACCCCTCGATTGCGACGCCGCCGCAAACCTTCCGCCCGCTCTTACCACTTTGTCGGCAGCGACGACGCTGTCACCTCCCTTCTCTATGAAGGCCTGCAGCAGACGCACAAGTGCAGGGATGTTTCCCGGTCGCTCCCACAGCACGGGCACGAGCAGGTGCGGGTAGAGAGCCATGTATGCATCGGGAACCAAACCCGAGTGTTTCTCCAGCATCAGATAATGTAGTCCCCCTAACCTTGGCTTGGTAACTCTTGTCGACGCCTGACCCATACCACGATGAACTTAATTATGGGACATTCGTATCGCGTTAATGCTGGGTACTACGCTATAACGCTTAGCACAGAAGAAGACTCCGGTTTCGCAATTCACATTCCAACGCACAATTCCACATGCACCGGCTGATACGTCAATTGTACGGCAATTGTACTTCGATCTCTGTATCCAAGGATTGTACAGCCAAGTGAGCAGAGTAATACAAACTAAGAAAAGAGCCCCAAAAAAAAACGAAGTAACAGTAAAGTACCAAAAAGGCAGGAAAAAACCGGCAAAAGTGAAGAAAGAAGAAGAGCACGGCTACTAACCAGAACTGTGCGTAGTCTCCCTGGAAGATGGCCGGACACTCGGTGAGTAGCCGCGTCATGCCCACGGCGCAGATCTTACGCTCCACCTGTCCCGTGACCTTCTGAACCTCGGCGACATACAGTCTCTCCAGCACCATGCCGAACATCCTGCAAACAAGCGCACTAGCTGTCGCTCAATGCTCAGAAGCACACGCAGACGGTGCTAGTGCGAGTTCTATAGCAAAACGAGTTAAAGAAATATATACCCCGGAGCGTAACCGGGGAATGCCAGGTAGCTAACGTTACGCGTAGACGTGCTCACGCTGTCACTTACTTTGGCTGAATGCTGTCAACCACGTGTATGAGGGTGTCGGTACCTCGTTTCCACGCAAACAGGCTGAAGAACACCAGCAGTCCTGCAAGATAAGACGCCGGTGTCAAAACCACGTTTACCGAGCGAACTTATAACCTGAACGAGCAAGTGCAAGTAAAAATAGATAACGAAGGCTCAGTTACGCCGATTAATATTAATTAGTGGCAGTGCAAGAATTCTGAAAATGTTTTACTCCCTGAAGGACAAGCGCACTTCAACAGCATTCGCTGAAAAGAAGTCCCCGACTATGACACGCAATAGTGACGGTCGCGATGCGTGTATACCTTTGATGTACTTGGTGGTCTTTGAACTGGTAAGTCGTTGGAAGAGAACGAGGAAAATCTGCTTCATGTACTGATCGATCGTCTCCCTGAAATCATTTGCATCACACCCACTCAAGTTCTAGACTATACTACTTAGTCTAAACAATCCCGACATGGGCGACAATCGACCGATTGGCTACATTTCAGACACTGTGTCGTTTATACTAGCACATTCAAAGCTACGCTCACGAGGCATCTCGATGGACTTTTCCCCGTCCAATTCAGATTCTGCGCTTACTAGACTTCTAACACAGCTTTCGATGCTACAGTGATTCGCAACGCTCAACCCAACAGCTTCCGAATCGAGTCCGTCATCGCCTCGCCATTTCTCGGTCACGATGTCATCCGAGAGAAGACTAATTTAACGCGAGGAAAATCCGATGCACACTACGCAAAAAGTGCGCGCGCCTGAGTAATGGCTGGCTGGTGGATGGCTGCTACTGACGACGCAGCTTTTACGGGTGATCGTGGATGATGGGAGGGGGGCAGGGTGTACTTACGGTCGCACGCGTCGTACGATGCTGCCGACGAGATAGAAACCCTCGTGATCATTGCTCTTCGACGCTATCAGCTTCTGGAACACGCCCAGCAGGGCTGCCTGCAACGAAGACAGCATCGCCGAGTAAAACGTCAGAAGTTAGCTCAAACTCACGAGAAAAACATGCTATAACTGCCAAAACCCCATGAGAACCATGTGGGAAACCCCTCGATTGCAACTCGAACCCATTCACGAAAACACGTGCCGCAGAGCGACAGCGCTCAACTGACGTGTACTGTAGCCAGGTATTATTCTGATAAACTCACTGGCAACCAAATCAAGTGCGCCCTCCTGCCACAGCGTTCGCGCTCAGAGCATCTAACTAGGATACTACTAATACAGATCTAAAATCGATGATAGGCTTTGCTATACCTACTGGTAGTACAGTAATAAAGATACAGCTGTGTAACTTTAACGACTTCGCTATATTAACATGTTATCATGAATATATGCATCGAGCGCGAGCGTAGTGGTGGTGGTGGGGGAGGGTGGTAGTAGGGCAGGTGGAGGGGGCTCTAATAGCAAAAGCAGTTCAGTCCTTTGTTTACAGTCAACAAATCCATGTTTAACCCTCTTCTTAAGGGTCAAAAGGTTATCAGACACTTACTCTTCGCACGTCAGCGGAAAGTAGATTTCATGGTCCTTTCAATAAAGTGATAAAAATGGTAGGTCAGCGCTGAAACCAAAAAATTTTGCACTCGGTCCGTTAGACCATGTCATCAGAAAATGTCTGATATCTGACCTATCCCCACTGCCCTTTGACCTGTGAC